CGGGGGGGGCTCTGTGGGACGGCAAGCACAACCAGCAGGGCTTCAGGCACCTCCTCTGCAGCAAACCTCACCATCAGTACCAACACCAACGTGCTTACTGCGCACATTAACAGCCCCAAAATTAGAAACACGAACACAGCTGGGTAGGAAAAAAACCCAGGACTTTTGAAGGAAGAACACGAAGAAAGATGAGTCTGCTCTGTGGCAAGAGAACACATTCTTCAGCCAGGGCTCAAGTATTTAGTTTCATCCTCATATACTCACTTATGGAGACACTCAGCAACACACCAGGAAAGGACACTGCAGCCTGCCCATCCCTGCTGCAGTGCTGTCCCAGTGTGACACCTTCCTTTGCCACTGTATTTATGACCTTTAGGGTGCTAAGGATTCCTGCACCAACAAATCAGCCTCCTCAGCTGGGGAGAGGCAACTAGAGATCCTGCTGGATGGAGCAAAGCTGGCACCACCTCTAGCTTTACTAGTTTTGTCAAAGACCATTACCTGGTTTCCTCTTGAAGGGCGAAGGAGGAGTCCCGGCAAGAGCAGGGTCTGTTTCTTCATAAATCTTCATCTTGCTTTGAAATTCATCGACCAGCTTCTTTGCCCACTGTTCTCGTGTTTCCATGGCTTCACTGTACCTCACCCAGTGCTTGCAGGCATCTCCTGCACGAAAGCAAATGTCCTGGCTTTAAAAATGAGGCTCCTGTCTTCCAGCCCTGCCTGAAGCCACGGGGCAGCACTGCTCTCCAAGCTCCCTTTTTAACCCCCCTCACGCCGGGAGGCCGCAGGCTGCCTACCTGCCCTGTGGAAAGGGTAGTAGTCAAAGGCCATCCTCCTGAAGGTCAGCTGAATGGCTCCTCCCAGCATCCCGTGCTTCAGGGCACCTGAGCGACAGAGCGAAGGGAGCCGTGCTCAGCCCCGAGGCCGAGCCCCGGCCCTGGAGAATTCAGGGCTGCACTGCTCTGGCTGATCAGGGCAGGATCAGGGCACCACCTTCGGAAAGCTGCAGCCACATCGTGTCCTGGGCAAGGGGAAGGACACCCGAGCGCAACTGGACAACAGTTGGTGTCGCACCAGAGCACGAACCCTGCAGGAGCCCGGTGCCTCCCACCCGCTCTGCGGCAGGAATCGGCGCCTGGCTGACACCTCACCTGCCTCCCGCGCGTGGCTGTCGTCGCAGATGTGCAGGTCCAGGCGGGAGATGAGCAGGTGGTACGACGACTCCTTCATGTCGTGCTTCTCGAAGTACTGCCCCATGCTGCTGGCGTTGGGGCTGGCCCCGAAGGGCTGAGCCCAGGACTGCTGGGCACTGGGGGCCAGGGGGGTGATCTGTGGGGGAGAGACAGGCTCGCTGAGAACTCAGGGAAGAAAGAGAGGTTAGACTGCCATCAAACAACCCCTGCAATCTTCCAGTTCATACAAACTGACTGGGGATTCCTAGATCCAGCAGCAATATGCCTCTTCCTTGTCCCTGGCCCACAGAACATATTTTCTTGGCCATGAATCCCACTCCCTTGGTCACTTCCCTACCCCACACCAGCCCAGAGTCCACGTGACACCGACCTGACACCAGGTAAGCTCATGAGTTCCCATCAGGGATACCCCGTGAGCATAAGCCAGACACCACACCAATGGAAACTGTCCCTTTCTGCTGCAGACCAGCACGCAAACTCACCCACCTGCACAGACTCTGGGGCCAAGCTTTTCCTCTGCTGGGCAGACTTCTCCATGGCTTCACTCAGAGACTCGGCGTATTTCATCATCGCCTTCAGCTGAGAGTCTGTCAGCACCCAGAGCAGGTCATCCAGGAGAAACATCAGCTTGGAGGCCACCACATTGCAGTCTTTGGTCTGGAACAGCAAGGACACAGGGACTTCAGAGACAGCCACCACAGATTGCTCACAATGCACAGAAGCTGCAGCAGAAAGAAGGGGAAGCTGCTCTGAAACTCATCTGAGAGATGCTATCTGGTGGGTGTCCACAGCACCTCCTCTCAGAGGGAAAGTACTCCAGGCTTCCTCCTCTTTAGGAGGCAAATTGCTCAGGGTTTAAAATTAAAATTAAAAAAGGAAAAAAAGTGATAGTTTGATTCATTTTTGACTCATCACATTTCCACTGACAGCTGAAAATGAGGCTGCCAAGCTTCCAGCTCCCAGCACAGAGCTGACAGCTCTCCTTGGGACGCTCAAACAGATTGGGAAACTCATTCCACACACGACATCCTCCCCTGGGAGCTAAACTGCTTTGACGTTTGGTAAGAACACAGCTGTCTCTGAGGGAAAACAGTGAGGGAGCAGCCTGGGCGCCGCGGGGAGAGGGAGAAGGGCTGCTGAGGAAGGTGGGAGGAAATGCACATCATCACTGCACCAGGCAGCGAGACCATATCCCGCACGGAGGAGGCTCTCACCCTTCTCTTGAGCGAGATCTGGATCCTGCCCTGGTTGGTGATGAGCCTCAGGGGGGTGGTGACAGGATCCTGATCGCCGTTGTCGGAGGCGTCTGCTTCTATGCGCAGTGTCTGCCAGGTGAGCTCCTTGAACGTCAGGACCTGCCCCGGGGGGACAAACAGCCAAACGATGAGGTGTTCACCACTGCGAGGACTGCAACAACCACGTGAAGCGAAACAAGGCCACAGCACATCGCTCGTGGCCTTCTCCTCTGTGGGCCCAGCACGAGCCCCGTTCAGACAGCAGCCTTGGGCCTGGGTCCCCCCGGCTGTGGCACACAGGTGAGCAGAGTCTCACCTCTCCTCTCTGCGGGTCGGTGATGCGGGTGAGGCGCAAATCACTCTGCTGCCAGTTGGGATTGACACTGTAGCCTTGGAGCTGCCAGAGCTCAAAGGACGCGTGAAAGGCCTTGGAGTGGATCTTGATGGTGATGGAATTAACAACAATAAACATCCCCTCCACGACCTTCTCAGCAAAGCCATATTCACTGCAAAGAGAAGATCCTCCATGTCATCCCGTCGTAACAAGGGGCCTGACGTGGGCAAGGCTCATACAGAGAGGCTCCAAAGTTCATAAGCAACACCAGAGGTACTTTAGCCTGAGTGCAGGGAGGCCAGTGGAGGATCAAGGAGCACAGCAGCCCCCACACCCCCCAGCAGGTGAGCAAGCAGCCGCAGGGCTCAGGGTCTGACCTCTGTCCTGCAGCCAGGGCGATGGGAGACTGCCCGTTGGGTGGCCGAGGCTCCTCGCACGTCCTCATCTCCACCTCCACTTTGTCCAGGTACTGCAGAGACAGAACGTGGGAGCTGTGAACAGCAGACCAAGCCTGGAGCTCAGCCGAACAGCCTCAGGTGTGAGACTCCAGGGCGGGGACAGCCAACTCTTGAGTCCCTTGAGACTCCAAGAGTCTCATGTTAAAGCTCTCACACCATCAGTGCCAGGATCACTGGGTAACCTGAAACCCCAGAAATGGGAAAAGAAACCCAACAAAAACCAGGCACAATGTGGCCCTGGACTTCCCTGAGAGCTCATCTGGCTCCATCCTGCAGGAAAATGGGGATCTCATGGGAGGGCACTTGTGGTCAAACAGGACTGTGTTCACAACTCCCCTATGTGCTAAGGGCCTGAAGGATTCAGGGCAAATGAAAAATTGAGCACTTGATGGTTTCCATCTGCAGAATATTTCTCAAGAGATCACAAAGAGTGAGGAAGAAAAGGAATGGACAAGAGAGGCAACATTACCAGGCAGATTGGGTGTGTTTTCAGCTTTGTCCACTGGATCTGAAACGATAAAGTTGAAGTTAGAAGAGTGATCTTTGCATGGGAAAGTGTCAGAAACTGCAGGATGAGGAAGAAAAGGAATGGACGAGAGAGGCAACATTACCAGGCAGATTGGGTGTGTTTTCAGCTTTGTCCACTGGATCTGAAACGATAAAGTTGAAGTTAGAAGAGTGATCTTTGCATGGGAAAGTGTCAGAAACTGCAGGAAACCATGTGAGCCCAACCTCTGAGCCCCATTTCTGTGAGATATGTCCATACTGTCTCACTGTATTCGGGTCAAACAGACAGAGAAGTGAAGAGACATTCCGGCCACCAGATCTACGAACCCTGCGCTTTGGGATCTCATGTATCGTCACAAGTAATAGATATTCTGCAGGTCAAATTCTGCTATGGAGAACATTCCTGGCCTTCAAGAGTTCACAACTAACTGCTGCTGTGGCTGGAAGTCAGGCAGCCCTCGAAGGCTGCGCACAAAGCAAAAAGCTCCACTTTATTTTCAGACAGCAGTGCTCACTCTGCAGTTCTTGTAGGAGGGAGAACAAATGTTTGTTACTAAACTAAGCAAATCTGACTCTAAAAACAGAGCACATCAGATGAGTAAGACAAGCTCACTTTATTGTCACTTGGCAGAGTAGAACCATATTTCTTCTAGAGAAAGTCTCTTCGATATCCTGAAAACTTTTGCACTCACCTAACACAACTCTGGTTAGTACAACTGCAGCTAGACAGTCTGGCAGCTCAGATAACTGAAAAAAGCAATTCTTTTGCTCAGAGAGGCTCAAGGAGAGGAGTTTGCAGGAGCTCGGGGTGCAGAGTGCCCCCGAGCCGTCGTGCCGTGCCGCAGCCCTGCCCGGCGCAGCCGCCCCGCTCACCCGGATCGACGCCTTGTTGCAGTAGACCCGAGTGATGGCAAGCCAGGTGGGCAGCTCCAGCACATTCTGCAGCACCTCTTCATCCAGCTCCAGGTTGGTCAGCTGCCCCTGGCCTTTCAGCGTGCTCAGGTTGATTTTGTCTGGGGAGAGGTTCTTGGTAAACCTGCAAGAGGAGGGAGAGCAGACTGAGAACAGTGTTTCTGAGCTATGCCAAGGGAGCAGGGAGAGGTTCTTGATAAACCTGCAAGAGGAGGGAGAGCAGACTGAGAACTGTGCTTCTGAGCTATGCCAAGGGAGCAGGGAACCTGCACCCCGACGTCACAGGATTCAGAGTGGACGAGTGGATGAGTTCCTGACAGACAACCTTCCCACCACTGAATCCAGGGCTTATTCCACACATTCCTCCATGCCAATGCTAATTCTAATTCTGTGCAGTAGTCCAGCAAGCGGAAGGGAAAGAAAGCTCCTATTGTCAGCCTGCTCCTGTGGCAAGCCAGGTGGGCAGCTCCAGCACATTCTGCAGCACCTCTTCATCCAGCTCCAGGTTGGTCAGCTGCCCCTGGCCTTTCAGCGTGCTCAGGTTGATTTTGTCTGGGGAGAGGTTCTTGGTAAACCTGCAAGAGGAGGGGAGGGAGAGTGAGAACAGTGTTTCTGAGCTATGCCAAGGGAGCAGGGAGAGGTTCTTGATAAACCTGCAAGAGGAGGGAGAGCAGACTGAGAACTGTGCTTCTGAGCTATGCCAAGGGAGCAAGGAACCTGCACCCCGACGTCACAGGATTCAGAGTGGACGAGTGGATGAGTTCCTGACAGACAACCTTCCCACCACTGAATCCAGGGCTTATTCCACACATTCCTCCATGCCAATGCTAATTCTAATTCTGTGCAGTAGTCCAGCAAGCGGAAGGGAAAGAAAGCTCCTATTGTCAGTCTGCTCCTGACCCCTGCAGAGGCTTCTGCTGCCACAGGCGCCTGAGGAGGCACCTTTCCTGTGCTGTGCTGTCACCTCTGGCCCCGAGCAGAAGGTACACGCTGACAGCTGAGCAACACCAAGCTCACAACACACCTGCAACACCTCAGGCTGACACGTTCCCTTCAAACCTGTCACCCTCGAACCCAAGGCCTCTTGTTTACACACACCCAGGAAGGTGCCCGAGGTCAGCTTTGCTTCTCAGCATCTGCACCAAGAAACTGCACATGCCAGAGTGTGTTCCAGCAGCTGCTCCACTGGCAGGGAGCCACAGGGGTATGCTGAGAGTCCGTTCTGTTTGCTCCTGGAGCCCTGTGCGAGCACCCACAACCCCAGACACGGCTGAGAATTAGAGCAAACACCTCCAGAGGCAATACACAGCATCCCTGAACGGTGTCGGGGAAACAGCTCTGCTGACCTTTGAGGTAATCATGTCCACTTGGGACTGGATACTGAGAATAAACCCAAATCTAACCTGGACAGGTAGGTGCTGGTAAGCTCTCAAGCTGCTGTGGGCAGTGATCAGCTTACAGTGGGGAGTGGCAGAGGCTTCCTCACACCTGCACAGGGATCAGCCCCTGGGCTCAGATCCTGATTCCCAGATAAACATACTCAGGGGGAAGCTGCTTTCAGCTGGTGATGCAGAGGAAAAGTACAAGCACATGCACCAACCAGGGCATCACTTTTGTTTCAGGGAGAAGCTGCTTTCAGCTGGTGATGTAGAGGAAAAGTACAAGCACGTGCACCAACCAGGGCATCACTTTTGTTTAGTGTGTAGGTGTGTCAAAACCACCAGAACACAGAAGAGCACTAAGGCTGTGACACAGGACACTGTGCAGAGCATGGTATGAAACGTGATCCTGCTAAACCAGCAACTGCTGTGACCATCTCCAGGGAAAGGCTGCAGAGATCCTGCTGAGCGGGTGCCAAAACCACCACCAGTGCTACCAGACTCTACAGAACAATCCTTTCGTGAGGCATTCAAAACATGCCCTGCCACCCCCAAAGCAGAGGTCACAGACCCCAGGGACGAGGGGACAACAGAACCTGCAAGTTTTGGAAACAAAAGTTTAGAATGGAAACAAATTCTTTCAAACCAGGGCCAAAACTCCCCAGGGCACCTCTGCCTGTTGCCAAGCCCTGCTCTCAGCTGCTGCCCCAGACAGGAATCTGAGATCTTCCATTGGAATAGCCTTCACCTTTGAGCCACTCTGACAGGCACATGTCAGACAGGGCTCACAGGAGGCCAGCGGGCGAGAGCTGCTGCAGAGCCCGGAGTCCACACGTGCCAGGTCTGCACTGCTTCCCGAGAGGAGCAGCCCAGGCCAGGGCTGGGCAGGAGAGGCAGCGCTGGATGTGTGCTGGCAGGCTCAGCCCACTCACACCCATCCGCAGCAACGCTCTTGGCAGCAGGGATTGCTGGCTTAGGGAAAACTCAATGAAAGCAGTGGCTATCGGGAAACTGGCACGGGAGGATAGTCACACTTTTTTTTGCTCTAACAGGAGTCAAGCAGTGCTGAGCCAGTGAAGGCACAGGGCAGCACTCCGCGGAGCCTGCCGGGAATACCCACAACAATCAACCCCCAAAACCTTTCTGTCTTCTGCGAACTGTCCCCGCAGAGCCACGAGGGCACTGTGCAGCTGTGCACACCACGAGCAGGGCTGTCTGAGCACCGACCACGAGGCTGCACAGCAGCACATCCAGCTGTGCCCGCGGGGACCTCCTGCCACGCCAGGCCTCTCAGCCCAGTGCTCTGCAGAGAGGAGTTTTCCCCACAGCCTGTTCCTCCTGTGTTTCAGATGACACGAGTGCCAGGGCTCCCACAGACAGACACAGCCAGTGACAGCTCTGCCCTGATCTCAAGGGCTGAAGGTCTCAGCCTCAGAAGCTGACAACACCCAGGTGATGTCAGCCTCAACAGCTTTCTGGGATCTGGCCTAAAAGCATGATGCTCTTTACAGAAACCCTCAGCTGTCTTGGGCAGTGCCCGAGATCACGAAGCCTCGTGTCAGGTTTTAGATGGGGAAGGCACAGGGGTGTCAATCTATCTGCTCAATCATCAGCTTGAATATGTATCAAAAAGCGATGTCGCTGCTGTGAACGACTGTGATTCCTCAGCCTGCATTTCCAGAGGCCACAAACTCACTGACTGCAGGAGGGAGCTTGGCCAAGCCTGACTGCTGGCCCAGAGCCAGGCTGGAATCATACATAAATTGATGTTCACATTTGTAGCTGTCTCCCCACACTGTCTCCAACTGAGCAAAGGCACAGGCAGATAATGTCAGATGACATCTGAAGTCACAGAACTCCTCCTCAGATCCATGTCTCGTTACCCTCTTGCCACATGGATCAGGAATCCTCTTCTCATACTCTCCAAGGAGAGCTTCTGCCTCAGCTCCCTCCTGCAGTCGCTCGGCCGCCAGCGGCTGTGGCACACAGACACCACCACAGCCTCACACCAGCACTGCCACCAGAGCCTTTGTGGCCATCATATGGAGGACTGATTGGCTGTACCCCGGTACAGACCTTGATTTTGCTCGGTGACAAGCATCATCTCTTGGCAGACGTAAGAGCGTGGCCTGTAACAGCAGCCACAGCTGCAGGGAGAGCTGCAAAATCACTCCATGTGGGAAGGGGGAACTGGTCAGCTCAGTCTGAACCCTGAGCACTGCTGAGGCCCCAGGGAAGGCTGAACACGAGGTCTGCCCTTCACAAGGGTCACAGCAGGGGAAGAGATGAGGATTTTCTGCTTTGATTTGGAACGCAAACATATAATCTAAGCAACTGTGGCAGGAGGACAGGAATTGAACATGGGAAAAAAACCCCAACAATAGTGTTCTGACCAATGCAGATTTGCTCCTTCCAAAACCTTTTCCAGTTGTGCTGGTCTGGTTTTGGAAGGCATTTGGTAGGATTTCCATCTTCCTTGGGAAGACCTTCTACAATCCAACAATCTCTCCAATGGGACATTTCACCTCATATTAAAACTTCTCTCAAGAGCCAAAGAGCAGATTTACTCGGGCAGAAGGCTCATGACTGCTACAAGAAAAGGTCAGTGACTTCCCAAATCAGGGCTGCTCTCCAGGAAGGCAGTAGTGGAAGCCTTAACTGTGGCACACATGTCTCAGAATGAGCTGAAAAATAATTTAGGAGGAAATAAAACTAGGGAGGTGACCAAAGCTTCTGTAAAAAGGGAAAAAATAGCTGCCTCAAAGACATACAGGAAGAAGAAGTAAAAGTCTTTCCAACAAGAAAAGCCATTTGCTTCCTCTAGCTTTGGGTATAACCAGGGAACAGTCTGAGTGCAGGCACAGAGCTGCTCTGCAGAGAAAGGCACAGTGGCAGACGGGGAAGAGAAACATGCTGAATTAGCACAGAATGGGATTAATTACTGCCCAGTGAGAGACAGGGTCCAGCACTAATGGAGTTGGTATCACACCCACTCAGCACAAAGCCACTTGGAGTTTAAGGGGATCTGATCAACACCAAACTGCCCAGTGGTTTAGCAGACAGAAAGCACCACATCTCATAACCATCTCTGTAGCTCCAGCACTGTGCACTCCTGGGAGGCAGCAACACCTGCCCCTGTGGACAGAGGTCCCAGCGGAATCAGCCTGATGACTTGGCCCTGCTTGAGTTACACAGCGAACTGTTCGCTCGTAACCCAGTACCAGCCCAGCCCAGGGCTCTGGCACGCTCCTTATCAGGGTGGATTTGGGCACACTGGTGTCCCTGGACACACAGGCCACTGCTGGTGGCTGGACATTATCAGCTTTCTGTTTTTCCAGGCTTCAACTGCACTGAATGAAAGGCTGAACCAGTCAGCACCCAAAGCCAAGCACAAAGCATCCTGATGAGTAATCACTTGTCCTGGCTCCACATTACCTACTGCAAATACCGCACGGCTAAGGGAAAAAGGCTTAGGAATCCAATTCAAAGTTAAACTTTCAGAGGAAAAATCAGCATTTTCCAGCTGATCAGGTACGAGGCTGAACCGTGACACAAAGCAGAATGCAGCTCACTCCTCCCTTCAGCCCAAACAGAAGTCTCTCTGGAGCATTCTGGCTCCAGACCAGGTGTGCCCCTCGCAGCACACCCACTGGCACCTCTGGGTACTGGGAGCCCTGCAAAGCAAACCATGAACCATGAGTCCCTGCCAGGGCTGAGCTCCACCTCGCTGAGGAGCTGCTTTACTATTTTGAGCTCCTCGTCTGGACACTCAGTGCAGTTCAAATGCCACCTGCCCTGTGCTCCCAGACCCGGAATGCAAACCCTGAGGAGCTGGCAGGGAATTTCCCCAGTTTGCCCTGTGCTCCCAGACCTGGAATGCAAACCTTGAGGAGCTGGCAGGGAATTTCCCCAGTCTACACCTTAAGGAAACAATAACACACAAAGGAAAGCTAGGAAGAAACCTAATGAGTGCACACACCACTCAGAAGCTCCAGTCCTTCCTCCTGCAATCCCATCTGCCTCTTTGATTCCAACCTGCAGAAATGAACAGGTGATTACATAGCTCAGACCCAGCTGAGCAGCTGTGGAGGGAAGGGCTCAGGGAGGCCAGGAGCACTAAGAGCCCTGTTTAACAGCCTCTCTGCTCTGCAGGCTGCAGGGCTCCGGAGAGGTACCACGCAGCCAGCACAGGACCC